AGGTGCTGACAAAGTGTGCAAGCTCTAGCGATCCATCTATGGACTGGTGCAAGCATCTCGGAGTTAGAATATACGCTTTTATGAGGTGATCAAAGCATATGGTTTTATACAGACTTATGGTGAAGCTTGTTTTTACAAGAAAGTGAGTGGGAGCTCTATAGCATTTCTGATATTATATGTGGATGACATATTGTTGATTGGAAATGATATAGAATTTCTAGATAGCATAAAAGGATACTTGAATAAGAATTTTTCAATGAAAAATCTCGGTGAAGCTACTTACATATTGGGCATCAAGATCTATAGGGATAGATCGAGACGCTTAATAGGACTTACATAAAGCACATACCTTGGCAACGTTTTGAAGAAGTTCAAGATGGACCAGTCAAAGAAAGGGTTCTTGCCTATGTTGCAACGTGTGAAGTTGAGTAAGACTAAAAGTCCGACCACAACAGAAGATAGAGAGAGAATGAAAGTCATTCCCTATGCCTCAACAATAGGTTTTATTATGTATGCCATGCTGTGCACCAGACCTGATGTGTGCCTTGCCATGAGTTTGGCAAGGGGGTACAATAGTAATCCAGGAGTGGATCACTGGACAGCGGTCAAAACTATCCTTAGAGGAGTAAGGAAATGTTTCTCGGTTATGGAGGTGATAAAGAGTTCGTCATAAAAGGTTACGTCGATGCAAGCTTTGACACGATCTGGATGACTCTGAGTCTCAATCTGGATACGTATTGAACGTGGGAGCAATTAGCTAGAGTAGCTCCATACAGACCATTGTAGACATAGAAATTTGCAAAATACTTATGGATCTGAATGTGGCAGACCCGTTAACTAAACCTCTCTCACAAGCAAAACATGATCACACCTTAGTACTCTTTGGGTGTGAATCACATGGTGATGTGAACTAGATTATTGACCCTAGTAAACTCTTTGGGTGTTAGTCACATGGCGATGTGAACTATGGGTGTTAATCACATGGCGATGTGAACTAGATTATTGACTCTAGTGCAAGTGGAAGACTAATGGAAATATGCCCTAGAGGCAATAATAAAATGGTTATTATTATATTTCCTAAATCATGATAAAGGTTTATTATTCATGTGTGGATACATAAACAAATACCGTGTCCCTAGTGTGCCCCTACTAGACTAGCTCGTTGATCAAAGATGGTTAAGGTTTCCTAACCGTAGACATGTTGTCATTTGATAACGGGATCACATAATTAGGAGAATAATGTGATGGACAAGACCCAACTGTTAGCATAGCATATGATCGTTCGGTTTATTGATACCGCTTTCTTAATGTTAAATACATGTTTCTTCGACCATGAGATCATGCAACTCCCGGATACCGGAGGAATACCTTATGTGCTATGAAACGTCACAACATAATTGGGTGATCATAAAGATGCTCTACAGGTATCTTCGAAGGTGTTTGTTGAGTTGTCATGAATCAAGATTGGGATTTGTCACTTCGTGTAACAGAGAGGTATCTCTGGGCCTTCTCGGTAATACAACATCACAAGAAGCTTGCAAGCAAAGTGACTAAGGAGTTAGTTACAATATGATGTATTGCAGAACGAGTAAACAGACTTACCGGTAATGATCGAATCTCGGGCAAGTAACATACCAACAGATAAAGGGAATTATGTATGTTGTCATAAATGTTCAACCGATAAAAGATCTTCATGGAATATGTAGGAATATATGGGCATCCAGGTCCCGCTACTGGTTATTGACCGGAGAGGTGTCTCGGTCATGACTACATAATTCCCGAACCCGCAGGGTCGCACGCTTAACGATCGTTGACGCAAGAGTAGTATTGGGATATTTGATGAGTGGTAACAAAATGTTGTTTGGAGTCCCGGATGAGATCCTGGACGTCACGAGGAGTCTTAGAATGGTCGAGAGGTAAAGATTTATATATGGGAAGTCATATTTTGGGTTTCGGAAAAAGGTGCAGTTTTTTCGGTATTGTACCGGGAAGCTTCCAGAAGGTTCCGGAGGATTCCAGAGGGGTTTGGAAGTCCACAAGTGGGTCCACCATGACCCAAGGGCTATCATGGGCTGTGGGTAGGCGCCCTGGCCTTATTGGGCTAGGCGCGCTAGGTCCTCAAAAGTCCATGTGGCTAGGGAAGGCAAAAAAGGAAGGAGTTCTAGTAGGAATAGGATTGGACTTGGAGTCCAAGTCCTCTCCCCCTTAGCTGCGCCCTAGGGCTTGGAGGGGCTGTTTCTCATGCCCCTCCACCTATATATAGAGGGGAGGGCGCCCCAAGAGTACACACCAAGCCCTTGGTGCCCCCCTCTCTCCCGTTACTCAGTAGTTCCATCGCCTTGTCCCGGCCGCTTAGCGAAGCGCTGTCGGTGCTCCACCACCACCATCACCACCACGCCATCGTGTTGGTTGTGATCCCATCTATTTCTCCTCTCCCTCTTGTTGGATCAAGGAGGAGACGTCATCGAGCCGCACGTGTGCTAAACTCGGAGATGTCGTCCGTTCGGCACTAGATCGGTTAGATCGTGATCGGATCGGATCACGAAGAGTATGACTACATCAACTGCTTTGATAAACGCTTCGTTTTAGCGATCTACAAGGGCATGTAGATGCTCTTCCCCTCTCATAGCTACGCATCTCCGTGGATAGATCTTGCGTGTGCGTAGAGTTTTTTGTGTGTTTCATGCAACGTTCCCTAACATCTTGCCCTAGAAAACCCATGGTCATCCCTCCACCACCTTCTACCAGTCGCCTAGGCATGAGTCTGTTACACAAACACGTTGTCCTCATTCACCCTAATCCATACTCCTTCCCAATGTCCCATGTTGATATCATATTTTTCAAGAATCATTACTAATAAAAATCATGTTCCATATGGACTTGGAGATCGCCATCCAACTTGTATCCTTGGCAGGCGGCGGATTCTCCTTCTCAAACACCACATCGTCTAGATCTTCCTCATGAAGTCCCAATCTATCCATACTATCTACATCCTGCTGCCCCACAGTCCCTGAAGCAAATGATTTATCCTTAGATGTAGTTACTAAACTCTAAAAACTGACGTATACTAGTAAGAGGAGAAAATGAAATATGAATACATAACCCCACCACTATCGAGTAAAGGCCGAGCGGTGGTGCAAGGCCACCCCTTGATTAGTCCAAGCTCTCCAATGGTGAGGACCGGATTGTGATGGAAGGCGAAAACTCAATGGCGACATAAGGTTGGCAATAGGAGAGGAATCCTTAACTAGAGGGGAAAAGGAAGTAGCTTTTTTTAGAAGAAAAACTTGGTAGCTTTTTTTTGAGTTAAAAAACCTGAGTAGCTTTTTTTTGAGCAATAGAAACTGAGTAGCTTTGTAATCTGTTGGGGCTTCTCTTTGTTGGGCCTTGTATTGTGGAGCCCAGCTTTATGCGGCTTAAGGAAGGCTAAGCACCTGGACGTGAGGCCGGGATATGGGCGAATCCTAAGCGCTCGTTGGCAAACGGCGTGTGAACTCTGAAGGGCTCGGTTAGTTGGGCTCGGTCCATTTTGCTTTCCTCCTTTTTGTGTTAAAAAATACCGTGCCGTGAAGAAGTCGAACCTGTGACCTACTCTCCGAAGGTTGGTTGGTGTAACTACCCCGCCAACCAACGCGACCGTGCTAACATTTAAATCTATTCGTCTTTTATTTGATCCTTTTTTCTTCTTTTCTTTTTTTCCTTTTTGTTTTTTGTTTTCTTCTTTTTCCTTGCCTGATGAATTGTCCACAAATACGTGAACTTTTTCTTCAAATCGATGAATTTTTTCCCATAATACATTAATTATTTTTTAATTTCAATGATTTTTTTTCAAAATCAATGAACTTTTTTCAATTTGGATGATTTTTTCCCAATATTGATGAACTTTTTTCAAAATCGATAAACAGTTTTTCAAATAGATGTTTTTTTTTCAAAATTGACAAACTTTTTTCAGAATCGTCGAACTTTTTTTTCAAATTCGATGCACTTTTTTCAAAATTGATGAACTTTTAACAAAAGATCGATGAACCTTTTTTTAAATATATGAACTTTTTTCAAACGGGTGAACTTGTTTCTTTAAATCTTTAAACCTTTTTTGATTTCACATTTTTATTTCATAAAAAATAGAAAAACTGGGTGGTTTTTTCCTACCGGATCAACGACAAAAAGACGGAAAAAAAACTAGGCAGCAAGCGAGCGACCGATCCGCTAAGCGAGCGATCGAAATCACCATAAAACTCGGTTTAGGGAACCTTGTAGAAAGTTCCTAAAACCGGTTGGCCGCACTTATGTAAATCTTGAAGTGGGCCGGCCCATGTTTGTCGCTCGCATCGCTGCTTTGTGCGGTAGCCCGAAAGTTTGCCGCAGCAAGTGGCGAATAGGGATTTCCTTCCGGAGCGCCAGCAGTGCGATCGAACTCAGCGCTCGTGGGCCCGCCCATGCCAGTGACAGTGCGAGCGCCAGGTTGTTAACGGGCGCCTGCAACGCTGGCTAGGAGCTTCCGGGGGAATGTATGTAGTGCACTCGCACTTGTGGTGTTACCGGTGCATCGGATATCATAAAATGTTTTTAAAAATCTGAAAAAAAAATCTAGCACGTTGACGCAACATCAACGTATGATGTCACAAAATTTCGTATAAAAATTTGAAATATTTTTTGAGATACAAAAATGACAAATTTGACTTCAGTGTGATAATGGGCCAAATCTAAAGCCCAAGTTATTTTATGTACTATTCAGTGTTGAATTTATCATTTTTGTTTTTCGAATTAGGTTTTGAATTTTGACTTTAAATTTTATGAGAACTTATATTGATGTTGTGTGAGTGTGCTAATTTTTTTCCAGAATTTTTTGAACATTTTAAAAAATACAATATGAGCTCGGTGCACCTGTAGCACCACAAGCTCCGGTGCACCAGATATTTTCCCGAGCTTTCAGGATGTTTCTAAAAAAAAAAGCTCCCGGGATAACCCACACGGCTCGACTCGATTCGCAACACTCGGTGATGGAATCCGGCGGCGGCGCCCGCGTACGGCGGCAGCTCCAAGCCGTGGGACGTGTCGCGGCGTACCTCGGCGGCGGCTTCCTCCTCCTCTCCACAGCATCCACCGCCGCCGTCCGCTCCCTCCGCTTCCTCTCCGATACCAACCAGGTAACGCCCCTCCAAGTCCCCAATCCATCCAAAGTCTAGAGCACAAATCCTTCACTGCTATCATGCCTTTGCTCTGACTGCGATAACATCCAATCTGCACTGTTACCAGAGAAAATTCGCGATGCAGTGTGGTGCCTGCGAGGGGAAGGGAACCTACGGGTGCAGGCTCTGCAGGGGTAGCGCCACGGTCGAATGGTCTCCGCTCTACGACCCGGTGTTCGTTAACCCGTGTCTCTGCCCTACTTGTGATGGTACCAGGTTGGCCTTGTTTTACGTAGCTTGCTTCTTCCTGGTTGCTGCTGGATGCTACTAGTATTAGTTTTGCCATGGACGTTCCTTCCTTGATTTGTTCACATTTGTTCACATTTTCAGGGTACAGCGCTGCTTGAATTGCCTGGGCAAAGGCTATGCATGAAGGAACAATTTGTATCAAACGCCACTTTTTATGAGTGGACTGTTTGCATCATCAATTTCTTTTGTTACCTGTTTGAAGCTTAGGTGTGTATTCTTAGAAGCGGGTGTTAAAAAGTGTTGTCAGAGGAGGCATTGTATTTTGCTCATGGAATGTAATTGATTGATGACCAAACTGTCCTGTTTGTGCTGAGAAACCAAAGAATAATTTATGTTTCAGTACAAAATGAACTAGTATCAAGGTGCGAATTAAAATGGAAAAGTGTCTTCTTTTAATTAAACTCTGTTTTTTAGTTAGAAGTTGTAGAATTGATCTCAGTTCATTGAGTTTTCAGATAATGAGACTTTGATATAGGAATGTCTGACTGGTTTTATTTTGTTCAGTATGAACTTAAACCAGAACCTGATTGTATATGCATTATTTTGGGAGTAATCTGCATCCCAACAAAGAAAAATACCGCACTCCAACTTTGATGGTTAGTTTGGAAATTAACTCGCTGCTAGTATTATTTTGGGATCCATGGTCCACACATGGTGGCTGTGATGACAAGGGGCCATTCACTGTCATCTGAAATTTTGAATCATTCCTTCATCTAGTTGATGACATTTAATCACACTACACGATGGGTAGCAATTTCTTTTAACATGTATGTAGTGACGCTATTTGGTCCTAAGTCAACGGGATCATTTCTTGGCCAAACTTTTTATATGAATACAATACTTGATCATATTTGATAAAAAAAATGTTTTTTTCTTACTTTTTATGCAATTACTAAATTATTTTGCACATATAGTGCGTGCTGGCACCCGAGAGCTGGCCATTTCTCTTTCTCATTCTTAGAAAATTCAGAACGTAGATGTGGTGAAGAGGTTTGGTGCATGTCTGAATGTTTCACGAGTCTGAAATATAAATGTTGACATGAGGAAGGAAAATTGACTACGCCCCAGTTGCTCAGCTATGTGAATCGTTGAGGACCCTGTCTCTAAAATATGAATGCTGACATGATGAAGGAAAATTAAGCACCCCCCATTTGCTAGGCATCTCCAATGGCAACTCATAAATTTAGGGCATCTCGAACGGCAACCCGTAAAATTTCTCCCGCATCCGTGTCTATGGACTGGTCTACTTAGAGCATCTCCAACGGCAACCCACAAATTTCCTCCCGCATCCGTCCGCAGAAAAGGGGATCAGTCCCCGGACACGGATACGGGAGGGCGTCATCCAACCGTAGCCGCATACATTTCAAACTGCATTTTAACTAACCAGACGAAATTCATGCAAAGCGGTCAATATTCATCAAAATTCGGATAGAAAGTAGCACAAACCATCCATACATAGCATGCAAATTAAGTCTAGTACAACAATGTCTCTAATTTGACTACATCCCGGATGTCCAACATTTTTTTCATGAACGGGTCATGTCGTTCCACACAAACTCCCCCCATCTGCTTCCTCCAACATTGTGCGCACGTAAATGGCCGTCCCTCTATACTGTGGTACACCACGGCGGCGCATGCGGGGTACATTGTGACGCCCTCGATTTGACCGTACACTAATCATACATGCAAACATGTATGATCAAGATCAGGGACTCACAGGAAGATATCACAACACAACTCTATAAATAAATAAGCCATACAAGCATCATAATACAAGCCAAGGGCCTCGAGGGCTCGAATACAAGTGTTCGATCATAGACGAGTCAGCGAAAGTAACAATATCTGAGTACAGACATAAGTTAAAGAAGGTGCCATAAGATGGCTAGCACAAAAGTAGCATCGATCGAAAAGGCAAGGCCTCCTACCTTGGACCTCCTAACTAATCCTCGAAGTCGTACTCCACGTAGAAACACCCTCGGGGTCCTCTATCTCCTGGACTCCATCATCTGGTTGCGACATCCGAGAAGAAAGGAAACGGGAAAAAAGGGGGAGCAAAGCAACCGTGAGTACTCATCCAAAGTACTCGCAAGCAAGGATCTACACTACATATGCATTGGTATCAATGAAGTGGGTAGTATATGTGGACTGAACTACAGAAAGCCAGAATAAGAGGGGGATAGCTAGTCGTATCGAAGACTACGCTTCTGGCAACCTCCATCTTGAAGCAGTAGAAGAGAGTAGATGGTAAGTTAACCAAGTATCACCGCATAGCATAATCCTACCCGACGATCCTCTCATCGTCGCCCTGTGAGAGAGCGATCATCGGGTTGTATCTGGCACTTGGAAGGGTGTGTTTATTAAGTATCTGGTTCTAGTTGTCATAAGGTCAAGGTACAACTCCGGGTCGTCCTTTTACCGAGGGATACGGCTATTCGAATAGATAAACTTCCCTGCAGTGGTGCACCACATTTCCCAACATGCTCGATCTCCTTTGGCCGGACACACTTTCCTGGGTCATGCCCGGCCTCGGAAGATCAACACGTCGCAGCCCTACCTAGGCACAACAGAGAGGTCAACACGCCAGTCTAAATCCTAGGGCGCATGGGTCTGGGCCCTTCGCCCGTTGCACACATGCACGTCGCGTGGGCGGTCGGTAAGCAGACCTAGCCTTCCTAATACAAGAGCAGGCGTTCCAGTCCAATCCGGCGCGCGCCGCTCAGTCGCTGACGTCAAGAAGGCTTCGGCTGATATCACGACGTCGAGTGCCCATAACTGTTCCCGCGTAGTTGGTTAGTGAATATAGGCCAGTGGCCAGACTCCGATCAAATACCAAGATCTCGTTAAGCATGTTATTTTGAAGTAACCGCGAACGTCGACCAGGGCCGGGCCCACCTCTCTCCTAGGTGGTCTCAACCTGCCCTGTCGTTCCGCCACAAAGTAACAGTCGGGGGCCGTCGGGAACCCAGGCCCACCACTACCTAGATGGAACCACCTGCCCCTTCAGCCCCCACATCGAAATCACTTGCGAGTACTCAACGAGCCGACCCGACTTTAGTCACAACATATATCATGTGTAATATGTATAGTATATATACATATACCCGTGATCACCTCCCAAGTGATTATGGCCCGATAATATAGCATGGCAAACGGACAAGAATGAAGGGCCACTCATGGAAAATTAGCATCCTATGCTAAGCATTTAGGATTGCAGGTAAGGGTAACAACTGTAGCAACAATGACATGCTATGCATCAAAAGAGGATTAACCGAAAGCAGTAACATGCTACACTACTCTAATGCAAGCAGTAGAGAGAAGAATAGATGATATCTGGTGATCAAGGGGAGGGCTTGACTGGTTGCTCTAGCAAGAAGGTGTCGTCAACAACGTAGTCGATCGGGGCACCAGCAGCGGCGTCAGTCTCGTAGTCTACCAGAGAGAAGAGGAGGGAAGAAACAATGAATGCAATGCAAACAGATGCATATCGATGCATGACATGACAAGTAAGGGTGCTAGGTGTGCCCTAACGCAGTAGGAGGTGATATCGGCGAAGGAGGAACACAACCGGGAAAGTATCCTCGGTGTTTCGCGTTTTCGGACAGATGAACCGGAGGGGGAAAATTGCGTGTTCGCTATGCTAGGGATGTGTGGCGGACCAACGGGTTGCATAACCGGATTCGTCTCGTTTTTCTGAGCAACTTTCATACATACATATATATATATATATATATAACTTTTTCATCGGAGTTACGGTTAATTTTCTATGATTTTCTAAAGTTTTAAATGATTTTATTGATTTATTTATATTCCAAAATTTAATCAGTAAATACTATTGTCACATAGTGCAGTGCCAGCCATAGGTGTATGACACGTGGGGTTAGGGTCAAAGTCAACCGTCTAGTCAACTGTTGACTGGGTCAACATTGACTGGTCAAACAAGGCAATGGGGCCCACTGTCATGGACTAGTTTAATTAAGCAGGTTTAGTTAGAATAAATATGTTTATTGGGCTTAATAAGATTAATTAATTAAGTTAATTAAGCGTTTAACTAATTAATTAATTATTTTTATTTTAACATTTTTTCTTCTGTCTTTTTTTTTATCTAAACAGGGGCCGCATGGGGCCCCCTTGCATTGTCATAGGGGCCAGCGGGGCGGGCTACTGGGCGCGGGCGCCCGCCTGAACGCGCACGGGCGTGAGGGCGCATTGTGGCCGGGCCAGGGCTGCGCTGGCGACGGCGGTGGCAGGGACAAGCAAGGGCGGCCGGTGAAGGGAAGGTGGGGCTGCGGCAGTAGCGGCGAAGGCGAAGCCAGAGCAAGCGGGCGGGTCGAGGCCGGTCAGCAGGGAGCAGCCGGCGCGCGGGGTGTGCACGGGAGCAGGAAGGCGCGAGGCAGGGGCGAGCAACGAGCGCGACTCGGGGGCGTGGGCATCACGGGGGGTGGGCGGCGGAGGCGGCCGGTAACAGCGGGCAGAAGGGCAGGCGGGGCGGACGGGTGAGGCGCGACGGGTGCAGCGGACGGTGAGCTCGGTTCGTCTGGTGCGGGCACAGGAGCAGAGCGCTAGCACAGGAGGGAGGGAGCAGCAGCGGGAGAGTGAGGGTGCGGTCTAGCAGAGGTGGCTGTGCGGGCCGCGGCGAGCGCACGCTGGCAGGCGCAGGGGGGCGCAGGTCGCGACATGATCGCGGCCAGGGCGGCGCGAGGCACGGTCAGGGGAAGGCGACCGCGGACATGCGTGGTCCGCGGCGGTGACGGTGGCGGTGCTACACGAACCCGTGACTAGAGTACGCGCGTGAGCAAATGAAGAGGGAGAGGAGGTGCGCAAGCTCACAGTGAACGCGTTGACGAGCTCAGGGTGGCACGAGGTGGTCGAAGGCGAACGAATCGAACGGCGGCGCGGGCTTCCATGGCCGAAGGGGATGGGTCGATGGCAGCGGCTCCAGGGCGCTCCAGCTCAAGTAGGTTCATGTAGAGAACGAATACGAAGAGGCCCGTCTCCTGGACATCTTCTGGCGCCATGGGGAGGCAAGTGGCCGCGGGATCGAGTGACGCATGTCGACAGCAGCGTCGGGCGAGGGAAGAGGAAGAGGGGAGACGCGAGAGGGTGAGTGGGGCTAGGGTTCGATAG